GAGGATAGAAGGAGAATTGATGCCTTTGAGCTGTGGTGCTGGAGAAGAGTATTGAGGGTACTATGGACTGCTAGGAAAACAGATTCATCCTAGAAAGTGTCAAAGCGGGCTGCTTCTTGGAGGCAAGGATTCTAAGGCTCTGTCTAACATACTTTGGACATGTTGCAAGGAGGGACAGGTTCTTGGAGAAGGACATCATGCTTGATAGGGTGGAGGGACAGCGCAGAAGGGGAAGACCCCCTATGAGGCAGATTGATTCAGTGACTGGGGTAATTGGATGGGTTTGTTGGAGACGGTGCGATTGGCACAGGACAGAGCAGAGTTTAGGGATGTTATACATAGGGGCGCTATGAGTTGCAAGCGACTCGATGGCACATAACAACAACATGGACTACTAAGAGAACAAACAGGTCTGTCCTAGAAAGGATGAAATCAAGCTCCTCCTTGAAGGCAAGGATTTTGAAACTCCATCTCACATATTTGAGCATGTTTCCAGGAGGGACCAGTCATTGAAGAAAGATATTATGCTTGGAAGGGTAGAGGGACAGTGCAAGAGGAGAAGAGCCTCAATAAGATGAATTGATTCAGTAACTGAGATAATGAAGGTAGGCATGTTGAAAACAAAGAAATTGGCTCAAGACAGGGCAGAGTTCAGAGCTGCTATACATACATAGGGTCATTAGGAGCTGCAAATGACTCGACAGCACCAGTACATAACAACAAGAAGAAGGAACTAGAGCGGGAGAAGGATGAGCAAACTTTTGTGTAACTTACTGCCTTTGAAAACCACTGGAGGATCAGCTACAGGTCAGTTCGGATTTGACTGCAAACAACAGAAAGATACCAGAACTCCCCTAGGGGAGACAACAGTGATGCCAAGTTTAGACTTGTTAGCTTTAATAAAAGAATATTTACAAAACACTGAGCAAATGTTTACAGAATAAAGTTTAGGTAGATGTCGTTTTTCTAATACCATCAAAATTCTTGTTCTTTTTATTAAAAATTGAAGTGATAAGAATCTCTGGTATTGATTACTAAACCAGCAGAAAAGGTGAATAATCAGTGGAGTGGACTTGGGTGGAGGGACTGTATAACAGTGAAAGAATTTTTCTTTTACTTTTCAAAGAGAAGAGCGAATTGGGTGGGAGGGGTGGGCAGGGGGGAAAGTGCAGCAGTGAATGAATGGAAATCCAAAGTCTCTGTAAACTTTCATTTAAATTAATTACAAAAAAAAAAAAAGAATACCAGAAAAAGAAAAGAAAAGGTGAAAAAGGAGGGACCAGTCCTTAGAGAAGGACATCATGCTTGGGAGGGTGGAGGGACAGTGCAGGAGGGGAAGGCCCTCTATGAGGTGGATTGATTCAGTGACTGGGGTAATCGGGATGGGAGTGTCAGAGATGGTACGATTGGCACAGGACAGAGCAGAGTTTAGGGCTGTTGTACATAGGGTCGCTATGAGTCGCAAGCAACTTGACGGCACATTAACAACAAGAACAACAATTAAAAGTGATGGGTTAGTAAAAGAGAGGTTAATACTAACTTTTATATGATCAAACCCTGTTAGAAAAAAAAAATTCTGCAATTAAACTCAAGGAATGAATAAGTCAAAATATATTTCCCTTTTCTGTAGCAGGGTCATGACAATGTTAAAGCACCTCCATTATATACATACTATCAACAAAATTGGAGACAGTTTGAGAATATGCACATGCAATTTGAAACAGTTTGAGAATGGCACATGCAAATTACAAATACCTCTGAAACAGGTTTTAGATCCCTTTCTAGAGGTATTGCAAGAGATTTTTATTTCTTTAACATTATTGCCATTTTATTAGAATTTATAGTCTTCAAAATAGTATCAAAGCAAGATAACACATAACAATGCCCTGGATATGGCATTTTCCAGATTCCACAAATCCAATCACTATATATATATTTCACCCCTGACCAGAGTTTACCACAGCATAATTAGTGATGATAAAGTGTCTGTGTGTGTTTCACACTTATTTACATAGCTCTAAACCTCAAGCATCAAGAGAATAGTCTTGTTACAGCTGGAACTCAAGGAAGATCAATTTCAAGCCAGATGCAACCTCAAGGCACACCAGATAGATTCAATTATTATAGTTTAACAAATCTGACAGCTGCTTAAATATTTTCTCATCCAACAGTACATCAGTGAGAACAGCATTAATACATAGTATAGGATGTTTCCATACTGAGGCAAACTCTGACCTTGATACTGCTCTACCTTTTAAAAAGACGGAAATATTAACAGCAACAGTCAGAAGTTCATTATGGGACTGTCGATATTTATAATCCAGCATGAAATAGTAAAGAAGTAGTTCATGAATTATGCTCACAAGAGACACTGTGAAATAGTTGAGAACATTCCATTTTAGCCCGTTCAGGAAAGAGAATATAACATAGTGAGTGATGGTATCTTACAGCTCTAGAAGAGAATACTAAATTGGAATTGTGCAAGTGTCTCTTAATACATGTAAATTTTTTTTCATTCCATTCCTTAACTCAGACTGAAACCTCTGATTGCCATCCTACCTTCTAGATTCTCTGTTGCAAGGAATCATTCAAAATGTCTATTGTAGAGCTTCACAAGAGTCTGTCTTGAAGAAAGTAGTGATTTAGTTCAAAGTAAAGGCTTGAAAGGAAATATCTTGGGATAAATCAACACTGCCTGTATTTTTAAGAGATGATTCTTCAGACTAGCTTAAATTAATTAAACCCATTTTTGCTAAGTTAATATTGTGTGTAGGTTTTTATTTAGATATGGAATAATAATATGAGTGAGTGCTATTTGAAAGTTTTCTGCACAATTTTGTATGTGAGTGAGGTAAATACTTCAAATCCTTTCTGTAACTTTGTTAATATTCTCTCTGCAGACTTCCTCTGCTGTATTATGGAATTAAAGAATGGATTTTCTGTTTCTCCAAGAAATAGGCAATGCATTATAAAAGAGGTTGGTATCCCTAACTGGAAGCAAGAAAATTTCAAGAAATGTGGCTGTAGCAAACTCCCTTCAGCATGTTTCTTTCCAACAACACACAATTCCACCCTTCCTCCTTCCTTCTGATGGGGATTCCAGGGATGGAAGATGTGCACATCTGGATTGGCTTCCCCTTCTTTGCAGTGTATCTGATAGCCCTCCTGGGGAACATTACTATCCTGTTTGTGATCCAGACCGAGAACAGCCTCCACCAGCCCATGTTCTATTTTCTGGCCATGTTGGCCGCCACTGATTTGGGCCTGTCCACAGCCACCATCCCGAAAATGCTGAGCATCTTCTGGTTCAACCTCAGGGAGATTGCATTTGTTACCTGCATCACACAGATGTACACCATCCATATATGCACAGGTTTAGAGTCTGTGGTGCTGACTGTTATGGCCATAGACCGCTATGTTGCCATTTGCAATCCTCTAAGATATAGCATGATCCTCACCAACAAGGTGGTAGGCATTCTTGGCATAGTCATCATCTTGAGGACTTTGATGTTTGTGACTCCTTTCGTATTTCTCATCCTGAGATTGCCTTTCTGTGGTGTCCGGATTATCCCCCATACCTATTGTGAACACATGGGCTTGGCAAAGTTAGCTTGTGCCAGCATAAGAGTCAATGTCATCTATGGCATGATTGCTTTCTCCGTGGGATACATTGACCTTTCTGTGATTGGATTTTCCTACGTTCAAATCCTCCGAGCAGTCTTCCGACTTCCATCCTGGGAAGCTCGGCGTAAGGCACTCAGTACCTGTGGCTCTCATGTTTGCGTGATGTTAGCATTCTACCTGCCAGCTCTCTTCTCCTTCATGACACATCGCTTTGGACACAATATTCCTCATTATATCCATATACTTTTGGCCAATTTGTATGTGGTTGTCCCCCCTGCCCTTAACCCTGTTATCTATGGGGTTAGGACTAAACAGATAAGAGCGAGGGTTCTAAGGATGGTTAACCCTAAAAGTCATTGATATTTACCCAGGAGATTTCCCACAATTTAATTGACAAGAATGAGATGAAAACAGAAATACTGTTTTGTAATTATTTTTTACTAGACACTTTTGTCATGTCTACATAAGCCAATCTATCTCCCAGGAGAAAGATAAATCCGGTTATTGACAGATCTCATGATGAATCCAGGAAAAACTAACCAAAAAAATCAGGTCTAATTTATTAAGTCTATTATACTAAACAAAAGTAACAGACTGGCACAAGCCTCAATAACAAAAGTACAAAAAAGGGTAAGAAAGGTATATTAGTATTTTTGTTTTCAAGAACAAAAGTTCTTGAAAAGAACTTGAAAAGTCAACTTTGGGACAATACTTTCAAGAAATTCAAAGCAATGTCTGTGAGCCAAAGATTTTATATCTGTTTATTATCAAAACACAATTTAAAAGAATGTAATTTTGTGCATCCTGGTGAAGCACTGAGGAAATGATGTATTGATCAGGGCTTCCTGTTTAATGTTCTACAAACTGTAATTCATTCAACCAAAAGATGAGAAAGACATTATAGGAAAGGACAAATGTTTTTGTTGTTACATATTCAATGAAACAAAACCATTTCTGGCTTTGTAATATCTGCACAACGTTTGCTGTGCTTATGCTCCTTGTTGGAGTGCTTGTCTCATTCTTCCTCGTTGAATGTTTGCCTTTCTTTCACTGACCATGTAATGATTCATCTTGATAATATGCATAAATTGTGGAGGATGAAGTCTCAGCATCCTTGCTTCTAAGAAGTACTTTGTTTTTACTTCTTCTGAAATGGATTTGTTATTTTGATAGTCAATTGTATATTGTATATTCAATATTCTTCACCGACACCAAATTCAAAAGCATAAATTTTTTCAGTCTTATATGTTCATTGCACAACTTTCACATACATTTGAAGCACATGGAGTCAGTGGGACTGGCTCAGGACGGAGCTAATTCCTGAGCTATTGTACATATTGTTGCTATGAGTCACAGGTGACAAAATGGCACATAACAACAACATGTGCCATCGAATTGAAAGTGACCCATAGCTGACTCTCCAACAAGTTTTCAGAAGAAATTAATCAAACGGGAGGAGATGGCTCATCCTTCTTCCAAGGGCAGCTGTTAGGTTTGAACCACATACCTGGGGGTGGGGAGAAAAAATATTTATGAAATATATATACACAGTATTTGGTTTGAGACCATCATCTTGTTAATTGAAGTTACTATGAGGAACATTCTTCTTATTCACTATATGAGCTCTGATGGCTTAGTGGTAAGGAGTTGTGCTACTAACCCAAAGGCACGTGGTTCAAATCCACCAGATGGTGTCTGTAGGGAAAAAAATTGGTAATCTCCTCCAATATAATTTACTGCTTCTGAAAAATCCTCCTGAGGGTCAGCTCTTAGCTGGTTCCAACTTGATGGTACACAACAATATAGGATATCCATGTATATTATGTGTTGTTGTTGATATGTGCCATCACATCACCAGAAACTCCTAACAAACCTATGTGCAACAGCCCTAAACCTC